TCCCCACGACCCTCGAAAATAAACTACTCACACATATTTAAATCTGAACTAAGCAAAGCAAATAAAATAGACATAATTAATCGAAGCAATTAAATTACTGAAAAATAAAAGGGGAAGAGATCGTTACTGAAATAAACGGAATAATGAATTGCATAAACTCAAAGTGTAAAGGAAGCAAGAACAAGAGTATTAACCAAAAGCTTAAAACTAAAATCTGGAAAGTAGCTAATGAGAAAAACGAATTCGTATCTAGCTTAAAAACGTACTTATACTTAGGCACAAAATCCTAATTAAAATAAAACAAATTAAATCGTCAAAACTATTCTTAGAAACACGCGACCGGTCGGGCGGAGCTTCGCCCAGCCGGGCCCGCCTTTTTGTTGGTTCTTCGCTCGCGCCCGGTCGGGCGCGAGACAGGGCGAAGGGCGCCTTCTTCCTTCTACCTCGCCCGGCCGGGCGAGCCTTAGGGTTAGGGCTTACTCGGTCGAGCGAGCATCCGGGCAACTAAGACTTCTTCAATTGGGCTATTTTCTTAGCCCAAACTGGATTTCCTCTTTGGGTCCTTAACACTCAGTCCATTGCCTCGGTCTCTTCTCAACTGCCGAGCCCTTAATCATCGGTTGATTACTCCAACGCGGTCTTGGGCTACGGAATATGGTTAAAATTGTCCAATGCTCGTAGTGGCTCAAATAAGTCTGGGAAAATACTCCAAATCTGCAATTTTCTATAAAACAGTACCAAATCTACGAAAACACTAGGAACCGCATAATAGTAATAAAAATGACTCCGAAGAGCCAAAAATACTCCTAAATATGACCAAGGAACGGGGGTAAATTTCTATATAAAATGAACATATCATTCATCCAAAAACTTCTCACACTGTGTTACCTCAACGGACAAACTGGAGCAAATCACAGTGAGAAGTTGTACGATGAAAGTGAGTCCCTTCATCATATGGATTATCCTAGTGTAACCATTTACGACCAAGGGACTCAACACATTATGATATCTATAGCCAAACTCGAAACTAATTCATAAAAAAAAGGTTAAAACTTGTGATTTATCTATTTATATGCATGACATGTACTACTTCGTATATGTTACTAGTAAAGTTAATTCAAAAATTCGCAAAATTCATCATCATTCCTCAACAAAAACCGAAATTCATCAACAAAAACCTCACTTCATGCGCAACAACAGCAACACAAGCTCAGCATAGGCAAAGGCAGAGACTCAACATGCGCAACAACAACAACAAAAGCTCAGCATAGGCAACAACAATAAAAGAGGCTGACCAATGAAATTAACATCAACAATGGTTGACCACATGAAGCAATAATAACACAGGATACGCATAGGTAGCAACAACAACACAGGCTGAGGGACAGCAGCACAACCTAACCACAAGAATCAACTGCAACACAGGCTGGCCATAGGAACCGACAACAACACTGGCTGAGCACAGGAAGCAATAACAACACAAGCTAGGCATAGGAAGTAACAACAACACAGGCTGAGCATAGGAACCAACAACAACACAGGCTAGTCACATGAAGCATTATCAACACATGGTAACCATAAGAAGCAACATTACCACACCCTGACCATAGGCATTCACAACAACATAGGCTGACCATTAGAACCAACATCAACATAGGTTGACCATAGGAACCACAACACATAATGAGCATATGAAACAAAAACAATAACACAAGATGAGCATATGAAACAAAAACAACACAGGGTGAGCAGAGTAACAAACAGCTACACAGGGTGGGCAAAGGAATCAACAATAACACAAGCTACACATAGTAAGCAACAACCACCACTTAACATCAACGAACACCAACATAAATATCACCAAAATCCATCCTGGCCAACAACTGAAGTTACTGGCATACAGTCACAACCACAAACAAATCCTCCACCCTAAACATGCTGCTATTTATAAAAAAAAAAAAAAGTAAACGGAATGATAAATAAATTAGGGTTTCACAGAGACATTTACCCATCAGCTACATTTACTAGATCTAACACTTAAGAAGCGAATCAGGGGGGACTCAAGATTCACATCATCTTCATCATCGCATGAGATTTTTGCCCCAACTCCATGAATTCTTCTAAGGGTCAGACAAGAAACCCTACAAACAGATGGAAGGTGTAATGGGAAAACATTCATGGCTGACATCGAGGGACTCAAACACAGATTTAGGGTTTCTGATTTGCGAAAAATCGATTTTAGGAAAATTGAACCTAGAAAAACAAAGAAGAAGAAGAAGAAGAAGAAGAAGAAGAAGAAGAAGAATAGAAAATTGATTTTAGGAAAATCGAACCCAGAAATCGAAGAAGTAGAAGATGAATAGATGGTGGATGGAAGAAGACAGTGAGAGTGAGAAACAACAGAATGGGGGGAAATAGATAATGTTGAGGAGAGAGGAAAGAGAAGAGAGAAGAGAGAGATAAATCGAGAGATTGATTTGAGGAAACAGTTAAAGAAAGAAGATGGGAAATAGAAAGAAGGAAAAGGGCGGGTTTTTTTAATTTTTGTTATTACAATTGGCATCGGTTAACCGGTGCCATTTCAAGAAATTCGCACCGGTTTGGTTTGAACCAGTGCCATTGCTCTTACACTAAATCCCGCCTTGTTTTTTTCCCACCGGTTTTCAAGAACCGGTGCTAATTTGTCCCCGCTAATTTGTGTTTTTCTACTAGTGATATCAGTATAATAAGGCCTCATTTGATATGTTTTTTATTTATTTATTTATTTTTTTTCTCTTCTCTTCTAATGGATTAGTGAATTGATAAGTAAAAAAACTCAAATATAAAATGATAAAGTATATATATTTGAGCTTTTTTTTTATATGATCTAAAATAAATAATAAGGTATTTTAGGTAACCTAAACTTAGCCATTTAATTCTATACTCATTTAAAAAAAAAACTAAAAGGGACCAATTTCACACCATCTTTCCTCATTTCCTTAATGTTGGCACATGAAGTTAGAAGAAAAGAACCAAGAGAGGTACTCTAAATTTTACTCCATTCATTCCCATTCGATTTATAACATAAGAAAATTGTTACTTTCTTATGTTCAGGGTTGGTAAAACGAGAGAGAAAATTGGTTGGGCCAATAGAGTGTATTTGAGAGTAAATTAGCATGAACATTTTTTTTTTTAATGATACTTCCTCAATTTATTTTTAGTTAACACGTTTCTATAATCACGTTTGTCAATGTACAAATTCAATTATTAATATCTTTAATTATCGATAAGCAAAAATAATAACAAGTTGATATACATGAAAATATATATAGTGACAAATCTAACAAGATCCTCCATGACTATATATTTCATTACATATAAATCATAAAACACGGTCAAAAGAAAAATGTGTGAATAATGCTAAAGTCAAAACGTGTCAACTAAAAAAAACGGAGCCATTATGATACAAAAATCAACTGGACATCTTAAACCAAATACTTGTATGAGACAATTCCAGGGAAACAAAGAGAGTACTCCCTTCATTTTTATTTAAATGTCTTAGTCTGATTTGACTTTTGCACTATTTAAATGTACCAATTTCACCCGATATTAGTGCTTCTAAATATAAAAGTAAGGGAAATTCTACACTATAACCCTCTGGTATTGACTTTTCCAAGCTTTGCCCCCTCCTTTTGTAAAGTACACACTGTAACCTTCAACTTACAATTATGTATCAATAGTGACCTTGTCATTTTACAGTTAACAGTCACCGTTAGTGGGGCCCTCTTTACAACTATTAAATTTTTTCTCGATTTGTGTGCTAAAAAATGTTCCGTTAAAGATTTTACATGTGGTTTTGGGCTTATGGAACCAAATTGAGCTCAAATTTGGCTAAAAAATAACGTTAAAGCCCTATGTTGTCATTATTCTTTTAACTATAGAAATTCGAATTCACAAAACGAGGCGTTTACAATTTTTTTTTCCAAATCCGAGCTCAATTTGGATCCTTAAGGTTCAAAACGACCCTTAAAACCTTTGACACAACATTTTTTAGTATGCAAATTGAGAAAAAAAATTTAATATAGGTGTAAAGTGGGCCCCACTAACGGTGGCTGTTAACGGTAGGATAAACGACAAGGTCACTATTGATACATAATTGTAAGTTCAAGGTTACAATGTTTAATTTTCAAAAGGAGGGGGCACAGCTTGAAAAAGTCAATAGCAAAGGGTTATAGTATAGAATTTCCCTAAAAGTAAACATAGTCATGTTGATACTTGTAAAAGTCGTCTTAATGTACAATTTCTGAATATCAACTTTTTATAATTTAAGATATCATTGGTCAAAGTTTGGCACTGGAAAATATATCGGTCAAATTGAGGCACTTACATAAAACAGTAGGGAGCACAGAGTACAAATTAACGTGGATCCTGATGAGTAAATCAGCTTACCAACCCAAGCTTTCCTAACCTGTCGTAAAACAAAATTCTATTGCCCCTCATTTATATACCTATATTAAAATGGAGTTTTTTATTTTTTATTTTTTATTTTTTTTTTTATTCGGAATTATTTCCTCCTAAACTCTATTTTTTTTAACCGAATCATTAATAATATGCCTAGGGGTTTCATTGTTTCTTATATTAACCATTGAGTTACATTTCTCTAGAGAGTTATATTTCAGTTACTATTAATTTGAAAAACCAAGCATTGTTCGATTATTAGTAAATTATCAAAGTAGAGTATATTATGCCTTTATCTACCAATTAGTGCACCTCACCTCACACACTAAATCAACGGCATTAAACTCACGGGATATAGGAACCTCATAACCGTCCGTCAAATAACAAGCTAGCATCAATTAATCTCACCGCATATCTTATTTATATACTTGAAAATATATTAAGCAATTAAATGATTAAAGTACAATTGCATGTTTCCCATGAAAACAATTGTTTTGACCGTCATTTTCTTCTCTATATATAGTTTATACGTATTATCCAAAATAAGAAAAGAACAACAAAAACAACTAAAAAAGAATTAAGATGGAAAATATGAAGTTTAGTAAGAAAAAAGTATTTTCAATTTTTATTGCATCTTTGTTATGTTACATTGCTTCGGCATGTAATAGGACGTCAGCTACAAAACAACCAGAAGTGCCATGTTTTTTCATATTTGGTGATTCTTTGGTTGATAATGGTAACAACAATGGCATTCTTACATTGGCTAGAGCTAATTATCAGCCCTATGGTGTTGATTTTGCTCAAGGAGCCACGGGTCGTTTTTGTAATGGTCGAACTGTTGTCGATGTGTTGGGTGAGTAGACTATAATACTATTACTCTCTATAATTCGTATTGTCAAACCACTTATTTTTCAATTTTCATATATAGTATTCGTACTATACATCGTTTAAAATAATGATGTGATATTAGTCCAATATCAATTTAAAATTCGTAGGCTTAACTAAAAATTTATAATATAGTAATTGACTAAATTACTAATTATTAAGTACGTCGTACTTACTAATGTTTTGTGTAACAATATACAGCTCAACTTCTAGGATTTACAGACTATATTCCACCATTTTCAAGTGCAACGGGTGATTCTCTTATCAAGGGAGTGAATTTTGCATCGGGAGCTTCTGGTATTAGAGATGAGACTGGCAATAATTTGGTATTTTTTTTTTTTTTTTGGGCTTCTTTACGATAATATATACTCCTTTTATTCCTATTTTTTTGCCCCATTGCAAATAATTGGGTCAAACCTTAAAAACTTTGACCATAAATTCTCATTAATTAATAAAAGATAATATAGTCATGTAGGGTTGTTCGATTAGTTTCATTGTGTATTTTATTAATATCAAGTTTTCATAAATTTTATGCGTATAGAAATAAGGTTATAAACATTCAAAGATATGTCTTGGAGACTGTGTAGAGTCTAATGGGGCAAAAAAATAGGGACAGATTGAGTAGGTTGCATTTTATCAAGTTGTTAATCGGTGTGATTTTTTTATTTATTTTTTGTTTAATGATATGTGTAACCTTTAAAGTTATAGATAAAAATTTAATACGTAATCTAAATCGAAATTTCGTATTAGTTTAGTAAATTAGGACAGAATTATATGTCAATCGGTGTAATTAATGTTTTATTTCATTTAATCTTTCTAACTTTGCTCATATAATTTTTAGGGTGTTTTATTTTATATCCTTTTCCTTTCTTTTTATTTAATCGTATATCTGCAATTTTTTTTTAACCTAATTAAAGTAATTTATTTATTAGTTATCACTCATGAAAAAGGAATAAATTACCTCTAACACATACATGCATATGCAGGGGGCTCATATTCCTATGAATCAACAAGTGAACAACTTTGGGAGAGTTGTGCGACAATTAAGGAGATTTTTTAGGGGAGATGCAAATTCCCTTCAAAATTATCTAAACAAGTGCATCATTTATTCAGGATTGGGAAGCAATGACTACCTCAACAATTACTTCATGCCTAATTACTACTCTACTCCTAATCAATATACCCCTGCAGCTTATGCTACTGCCCTTCTTCAAGAATACTCGCGCCAACTCACGGTTTGTATTATTAACTCTAAAAAATAGAGGTCATTTGGTTGACAAAAAATGCACACACGAAGTGTTGTAACTTTAACTTTTTAAGTGACCACTTAGCCTAGTTTAGCATTACAAACGTTTTCTATATTGATATTTGAACAAATGAACAAATTCGTGTAGGATTTGTATCGACTTGGAGCAAGGAAGGTGATCATACCAGGAATCGGGCCAATCGGATGCATTCCTTATGAGCTAGCAAGGTTTAATGGGACAGCACAAAGCCGTTGTAACGAGGACAAGAACAATGTTGTCAATCTGTTTAATTCAGGACTAAGACAATTGGTTGATACTATAAACAATGGTCAATTTCCAGGGGCCAAATTCGTTTACTTAGACTCTTTTAAAGGCAGCAAAGAATTGACCGCTAATAAAAAATCTTATGGTACGTATTCTTCCCTTGATCGTAATGTAAGAATGTTGGCAAATCTTTAACCTTATATTAGTCGATTTATTCTCGAAGTCAAGTTGTTCACTAAGTTTAGATTATCCTATCAACTCAATTTCACCACTATGCATATGCTAAATGACACTAGCTAGTGGTACATACATTAGACTCTCTAGTCTTTCTTAACTCGTGTTTGTGTTATTGCTTGTATTAACTTTATATGTTATATTCGTTACGTTTGTAGGACTTGAGGTAACAGAAGAGGGGTGTTGTGGAGTAGGGAAAAACAATGGGCAAATTACTTGCCTTCCTTTGCAAACTCCTTGTGAAAATCGCTCCAAGTATCTATTTTGGGATGCATTTCACCCAACTGAGGTAGCTAATGTGATATATGCCAAGATGGCATACAACTCCAAGGCCAATGCATATGCACACCCTATCAACGTTCGCCAGTTGGCAACACTCTAATTAATAATTGTATTGTTTTATTTTTATTTTCAAGCATCCAATTGTACTAAATTCTGTGAGTTGTACTATTTTTAATATCTTTAACTCTATTAAAACCATAGATAATGGATTTGAGTTGAATCAATGTGTGTTTGGTTAAGACCCAATTGTTTAAGTATAGTGTGTGGAATGACCATATATCACTATTTTTGGTGTTTGGATTGAGTTTGGATGGATGTTTAAACTTATATACCTTCGTCTAATTGATTTTCCCGGTGGTTTTTTTTTATTTTACACTTGACTTATATTTTTTAGGGTATTTTGATTTTTACCACCTTCAAATAACCACTTAATTGAATTTACCACCTCCAAAAAAAAAAGATTTACTTTACCACCACCAAAATTTCCAAAAAATCGATTTTACCACCAACTACCAGATTCCGTCCATGAATCCGTTAGTAGGGCCCACATATTTGACGTTTCTTCTTCATCTTCCCCGATCTTCCATGTCAACCAACCAGCAACGAAATCAACTACCTCGGTTGGTCGGAATTTCGTGTGGGTTTCGCGTCTGGGTGGTGGTGGTTTCGAGTCGCGATGGTTTCGCGTCTGGCTGGCGTGGTTTCTGGTGGGTGGTGGTGGTTTTGAGTCGGGGTGGTTTCGCGTCTGGGTGGCGGTTGTTTCTGGTCTGGGTTTGGATGGTGGTGGGGTTGGTCGTAGCTGTTAGGTGGTGGCTAGGGTTTTGAGGTCGGAAATTGGTGGAAAGGGGTAGAAATCGGTGCGGCTGTGGTGTGCGGTGCGGTGGTAGCGATTAGGTGGTGGGTTGGTCGTAGCTATTAGGTGTTGACTAGGGTTTTGAGGTCGGAAATTGGTGGAAAGGGGGTCGAAATCGGCGCGGCTGTGGTGTGCGGTGCGGTGGTAGCGGTTAGGTGGTGGCTAGGGTTTTGAGGTCGAAATCGGTGTGGTGGCTGTGGGTCCCGACGGTGGCTGGTAGCGGTTAGGTGGTGGGGGCTGGTTGTAACGGTTAGGTGGTGGGGCTGGTTGTAGCCGGTCCGGCGGTGGGGGTCTCGACGGTGGCAGCAACCACCGGTTGATGGATGGGGTTTTTTAATTTTTTTTTTGGTTTTTTTTAATTTTTTTTCTAAAGCTTACCCAATAATATGGAGACACGTGTGCAAGGTAGGCCCCACTAACGGATTTTTGGACGGAATCCGTTAGTTGGAGGTGATTGGTGGTAAAACTGATGTTTAATTTTTTTTATGAGGTGGTAAAGTAAATGTTTTTTTTTTGGAGGTGGTAAATTCGACAAAGTCGTTATTTGAAGGTGGTAAAAATCAAAATACCCTATTTTTTATCACAATTGTCAATGATTTGTAAAATTGGTTGGATCTACAAATTGGGCAAAGGGAAGGAACAACTAAGGCAGTATCCAACAAATATTAACACTGTGTTTGAATAGAGAAAATTAAAAGAAAGGGAAGAGAAGAGAAAGAAAAGGATGCATCATCCTTTGTTTGAATACCTAATACCATGGCCGTCTAAGAGGCTGTGCAAAAAGACCCTCTAGACAAGGCTCACTATGTGGAGGGCCTGCAATTCCTTTTTTTCCCCTTACCCAAGCACTATATATATCTATCATTGCATAAACTATAATACTTTAATTGCAAGTTTAATTTATAGTTTTTCATCTCCAATATCTTCGTAAACTTTTATCAATAGAGTTTCCATTAGTTAAATTCATTAATTAGAATTTTACAATTTTGTTGGTTTTTATGACATCCTAACTTCATAATTTAGATTAAACACATATATTATATTGTTTATTAACCACATAATACTACTACATATATTTGATAGGGACCAATCTTGTATGGTAGCACAGGGCCCCCAAAGTATTTTAGACGACCTTACCTACTCCAAGGAGGGAAGGGGAGGGAATTGAAAGGATCTATATTCCTTCCCCTTTTAAGAAACCAAATCCCTCCATTGTTGGAGAGATTTGCAAGTAAAATGGAAGTTCACCTTCTCCCTCCCTCCCCCTCCCCTCCCCTCCCTTTCCCTTCCCTCTTTTTCCTTCCCTCCCTTTCCCTTCACTATTGTTATCCAAATATAGTGTAAATGATAACTCCATTATGGCCAAATGCAACAGATTGGATTTGGGGATTAGAGTATAGAAAGGGCCAAATAGATCACAAAATCCTCTTTAGATCCTAATTTACTTATGGTCGACATATACATCAATTCAATATGACAAAATTATTGCAATGCTAATTGTTTAGGGTAAAAATACCCTAAGACACGTGGCCCTATGAAGGCTTGCCACGTGTCAAGCTTGCAACGGTCAGCAAAGGCCCAATCCCTTTGCGACACGTGTCATTGTACCCTAATTGAGGTACAGCTCTCCCCTACTATAAATAGTAAGGGCAGACCTCATTAATGGGGATCGAATCATTTTCCACAAACCAACAAAACACAAATCCCCTTGCAAACGCTCTCAAATCGAGAAGCATTTATTGTCTTATTTCCTCATTAAGAAAGAGACTAACTTAATCTTCGGAGGCGGAACACCCCAGCCCCAGCCGGAGTATTCCGTTATTTGTGCAGGTACAGGCTAAGGAAGGAGCATACTAGGAAATTGTAACTCTCCCGTAGGACACATAAAAACCCCCAAACATCTGGCGTCGTCTGTGGGGAGAGTACTTTCTAGATGACTTCAAAGCCGGTACAGCCGGGTAAAAAGTAGTCAACCTGCTGGTGAGGCTGAGGTCCAGTCGGACCAAGATACAGCCGACAATCATGAGATTGAGACTTACACAGCGGCCGATGGTTCTTTCAGAACCAAGCATACTCGTTCCAAAGACAGAAAGGAACGGGCAGAGCAGCAGGCAGGCCCAAACCATCCCACCAGGGGACCGCTTGGGTTAACTCCTGCTTCGGAAGGGGCCACCCTAGTCTCCAGGGATGAGCTCATGAACCTGATGATGAGCTTCAAAGGAGAGATCAAAGGCCTTCTGGATAATACAGCCGGCCCCCGTAAGGGTCAGGCGGAAGAAAGGCGTCTTGGAAAAAAGACGGCCAGAACAGTAAAGGGTAGGGCATCTACCCCACATCCGAAGTCAAATATGTCGGCTAGGCCCTTTGATTTCTCAAAGATACACACTCCCATAGATGGAGTCAGAAAACCCGTCCGGCACATACAGCCGGATGGAACCAAAAAAGTCTATTCTGATGCCCGGACGCTCATTCAGGATAAAAAGTCTCAGCGTTCCGAGTCGGCATCAACATCGACCTTTCGAGACAGCTTCAACGCCACATCAGGGAGGCACTCGAGAACAAATAATGACAGCCGAACGAGCAAGGTTTTCGCTCGATCCGGCCCTCATATGATCCAACTGGCATTGCATGGAACACCATACACGCCTTTTGGATCTCCCTATGCACAGCCGGGTCTTTTCGGGGGACAGCAGCAGCCGTCTCTCCAGCCTATGGACTGGCAGCTCCGGCTGCTCAACCTTGGGGAACAACCAACGACGTTTTCCAGGGAAATCACCGAGATGACCTAGCCGGCAAAAATTAAAAACGTGTTGGTAGGTGCCTATGACGGTACCACCAACCCGGAAGATCACCTCATGGCATACACCAACCTGATGTATTTGCAGGGTTTGGATGACGCCTCATGGTGCAGGTGCTTCCCGGCAACGTTGAAGGGGATTGCTCAACGTTGGTTTGGCAACCTCCCAGCCGGATGCATCAATAATTTCAGGGCGTTGGCCTACTGGTTCACGTCTAACTTTTCTATGAATATCCCTGCCAAGAAAACAAGCCTTGAGCTAGGGGCAATCCAGCAGGGAGATAAGGAAGGGCTCCGGTCATATGTCAGGCGGTTTAACTTGATGAGGATCCAAATCCACGGATTGTCTGATGACGTTGCCTACACTGATTTCTTTAAAGGCTTAAAAGACGGATCAACTTTTAAGTTTGACTTGGTTAGGAAGAGGGTCTCTACTCTTCACGAGGCGCTTATGAAGGGGAAAGCTTACATTCAGGCAATGAGATTATGTGCTGTAAAACTTCCAACGGATTACAAAAGATCCGACAAGAAAGAGAATCGGCCTACCTAGTCGGCCAAAAAGGAAGACAAGAGAAAGGGGGTATGGGCAGCAGACTCATCCGGACAACCTTTCCAGAAAAGAAAGAGGTCGGATCCGTATGTGCCAAAGTACGAATTCAACAAGGATTGTGCCTCCATACTCAACGAAGTAAAAGACCGGTTGAATCTAGAAAAACCGGCTCCGATGAAGAGTCCTGTAAGCGCCCGGGATAAGAGAAAATATTGCCTTTTTCATGAAGAAATTGGCCATGACACTGAGGGTTGCTTTAGCCTCAGGAGGCTCTTTGACCGGCTGGCTGATGAGGGGGCTCTCAAGTCATGCCTATCCAAGTCAAAGGGTTCTCCCAAACAAGTAAAAGGACCACCCCCAAAGAAGCCGGCTACTCAATCGGATACGGATGAGGAAACCATTTTGACCATAGCCGATGGATTTGCGGGAGGTGGGCCTACCATCAGGGGCACAAAAGATAACATTCGAAAACTGATCAACTCAGTGGATGAGGGCCAGTCGTCTGAATATTCATTTTCCGGAAGTTAACATCTCCGAGAAAGATAGAGGAGAGGTCAGGCGGCCTCATGATGACCCCATAGTCATCGAGTGCAAAATCGCCAATCAAAGAGTTGGCCGGATCTTGATTGATACCGGGAGCTCATCTGACCTCATAAGCTACCGGTGCTTGGAAAAACTCAAGTACAAGCCCAGTAGCATGCATCCGGCCTCATACCCTCTTGTTGGTTTTGGGGGAGGAGTAGTACATCCGGTGGGTATGATTGATCTACCCATCCGGTTCGGAGAAAAGGGAAAGGGCCGACACATGGTTGTCAAGTTTCTTGTTGTAGGAGAGCTGACTGCCTACAACTTGATTATTGGCCGCCCAACCCTTAACATCTCAAAAGTTGTCATCATCCCATCCCTAATGTTGATCAAGTTAAAGAGGGATGATGGCACAGTCGGTTCCTTGAGTGGGGACCAAAAGATGGCGAGAGAGTGTTACCTCTCGGACATCAAACCAACGCTTGACACAGACGGTCAAGAGAAAGAAATAGTTGAACTTGACGATTGTGATCAAAGCTTACCGGCTACTAAGCCAGCCGGTAAAAAGAGGAAGGCGGACCAACTGGCGCCTGTAAAGGAGAAACAATAGCAATCATTGTCAGGGGAGAGGTCAGACGTCCTTCGCCCCCAGCCGGCTGGAGAAATTATTGACATTGTCCTTGAAGATAGCCGGCCAGACAGAACCGTCAAGATTGGAACGGCTGCTTTTGAAAGCTTGGGACCTGATTTTCTCCTTTTGCTGAAGGAGTTCAAAGATGTGTTTTCCTTTGAAGTAGAACAGATGCCGGGTGTAAGTCCGGATCTTGCTGTTCATAAAATCGTTATGGATCCTAAAAAGAAGTCGGTCAGGCAAAAGAAAAAGAACCATGGTTAGGAAAGGTCCCAGGCGGCAGCAGCCGAGGTCAAGAAACTCTTAGATGCTGGGTTCATCCGGCAATGTTACTACCCGGATTGGGTAGCCAATGTCGTCCTTGTGAAAAAGCCGAATGGAACCTGGAGGATGTGTGTAGATTACACGAACCTGAACAGAGTTTGTCCAAAAGATAGCTACCCGCTTCCAAAGATAGATCGTTTGGTAGACTCTACAGCCGGCCATGCCCTGATGAGTTTCATGGATGCCTGCTGCGGCTTCCATCAGATACCCTTGTGGAAGAAAGACCAAGAAAAAACGGCTTTTGTCACAGATCAAGGGCTATACTGCTACACGGTGATGCCGTTTGGGTTGAAGAATGCGCCTGCCACTTTCCAACGAATGATGAACTCAGTCCTTTATAATCAGATTGGAAGGAATGTGGAGGCGTACATCGATGATATGATAGTCAAGTCAAAGCTACAGGCGCATCATCTAGCCGACCTCCGAGAAACCATCACCACCCTCAGGCGGCATAAAGTCATGTTAAACCCGAAAAAATGCGTCTTTGGAGTTGAGTCTGGGAAGTTTCTCGGATTTTTGATTGATCAGAGAGGCATAGAGGCCAATCCGGACAAAGTGCAGGTGGTGATTGACATGCAATCGCCTCGTACCGTCAGGGAGGCTCAAAAGCTTACCGGTTGCCTGGCGGCATTGGGGAGATTCCTCAGCCGG